GATTGTGATCACTGATTCTACGCTGAAAGTTCCACACAAGTCGAATGTTACCTTCAAGATGCTGCTTTAGCTGAAGTGTCTCTTCATAACATGATCCGGTAAATATCCAACATGAGATGGTATCAGGTTCTCAATTTCTTCAAACTTTCTTCTTCTTTTAACACTGATTACTTAGATCTCTTACTCGCTCTAGCACTGTTTCCACTCAATCTCCTTTACTGCTTCCCAGCTCTGCTTTATAATTACTGCAGAGTGTGTGGGATCAGATTACAGTAAAAACTCTAGATGTTCTCTCTGTCTGTGAGTGAAGAGTAACTTTGCTACAAGTACTTTTAGATTTCCAAAAGACTGCCTAGCAAAATATAGCAAAGCAACAGGATGACCATAAAAGAATTGTCTTTTAAATTCAAAACAATTGCTGTTATTTACATAAAGTTCCAAATTTTCAGTCAATGGCTCCCTTTGACACCTTACAGCTTGGTTCTTTACATAGTCACCTTGTCCTCGCAGGTCTTGCTCTTGGTATTTGTCAGTTGATTGTGATCACTGATTCTACGCTGAAAGTTCCACACAAGTCGAATGTTACCTTCAAGATGCTGCTTTAGCTGAAGTGTCTCTTCATAACATGATCCGGTAAATATCCAACATGAGATGGTATCAGGTTCTCAATTTCTTCAAACTTTCTTCTTCTTTTAACACTGATTACTTAGATCTCTTACTCGCTCTAGCACTGTTTCCACTCTCTCTCACACTCACACTGGCGTGTGCTGGGCTTTGAGTTGAAGTGTACTAGGGAAAGCGGTTTTAATGAGTGCGTTCTGCCGAGCTCAGGGCCACGGGCTCCACCGGCTCTATAAATAGAGCCCTATATTCCACTGTGGAATGGGGTGGGAATCCAAATGTCCGTTTCAAGCAACAGTGCAGGGAGTCGTGTTTCATATGGTTGCAAACTGTGTGTGTGTGTGCTATTTAGGGACAGTTACAAGGTGTAGGCCCTGTCACATCTGTCTGGCTCAAAGAAAAAGTGCAAAGTAATGGCCCAAGATGAAAGATTGCTTGTCAGTTTTGTACATGCTACTCAAGACATTTTTTTATTTTTTCCTTAGTGGTATTTTATTTTATTTTTTACATCAACTAATGCTTCTGGATGTCTTTATTTTAAAATTAAGAAGTAGCTTTTTATACTTTCCTAACTTTTTTTAGATGCTACATTTAGATGCTTCTTCTACATTCATCAAGTGTACACTCAGTTGGCACTAGGGTTGTATCCTCAAAAAGGTATTAATATGTACAATCCAGGTAATAGTATGTACATTTAAAGTACTAATAGGTGCACGGTTTTGTGTATGTGTGTGTGTGTGTTTTGTTTTGAAACCCCTCCTCTCCAAACACTTGGCTCCAGTCGGTCTTAAACAGTATTGGGGAAAGTTACTTTTAAAAGTAATGCATAACAATATTGTGTTACTCCCTTTAAAAGTAACAAATTACATTACTTTTTATGGAAAGTAATACCTTATGTTACTTTTGCATTACTTTTTAAATGTGAGCTGGGCTTGCTTGTTTGTTTTTAATATAAAAAGGCTGAAGGAAATGTAAATTCACATCTGTACAGTAGAGGATGCAGCTCAAACAAACCTTTCAGCTGTGCAGCCATTCAAGTTTGACACTCTTCAGCAATAAAAAACAAAAAAAAAGAAACAAATGTTTTGTTTGTCTAAAGTCATTTTTGCTTATTAGTGTGGTTGAATTGAAGGTCAGTAGCAAAGACAATTAGTTAATAAAATGGGATTAAATCCATAAAGGATATTTGTGTTATTTATTGCAAAAAAGTTTGCATGCAACTGTTTTTATTTATTTTGAGTAATACTGAATCTGTTTTTGTGCAAGTGAGTAAATGCATGTTCACATTTAGTCCAGAACTACAGTAACATCATGTTTACTTACACAATGCCTCTGCACTTACTCCCGATTTCTCTCAACATGGGGACAGCAGAGCTGTCAGTCAATAAATGGGAAAACAAAGTAACTGGTGTTACTTATTTGAAAAAGTAACTCCGATATTTTCTTGTAAATTAAAAAGTAATGCATTACTTTACTAGTTACTTGAAAAAAAGTAATCAGATTACATAACTTGCGTTACTTGTAATGCTTTACCCCCAACACTGGTCTTAAATCCATATATCACCCTCCAATCAATTCATGATAGAAATAGGCCTGTTATGTTGTGCATATAAAATATGCTGCGTTAAAATATCATGGTTCTTAAAACCATGAGGTAGGCAATGAGGCTTTGGGAATTAAATGTGTTTTAAAAAATGAGAAAGGCAATACTGAATGTTTCTTTGAAATAACTGTAATGTGTTCTCTCATGGAAACATACATGCATTTAACACAAGAAAAAAACAGCATTATTTACAATTTACAAAGAATCACTTCTCTGTGAAAATAGCATTATAAATATGATTTACATAAAATAAATATGCAACTTAGCAATGCAGATTGAGTTTTCTGTTAAAAAATATGTTACAGAACAAAATAGCAATTAGTAATACCTTCACATCTCAGTTGTTTTCTTTTCTTTTGGTTGGTTTATTTTTTATTATTATTTTTCATGAGACCTCTATAAAAAAGTTATATTAAAAAAGTAATTTTCTATTAAATATTTTAACAGTCTAGAGTGTCTTCATTTGACAAAAGTACTCACAAAGGAGTCAGCTGTTAAGAAAACCTATACATAGATAAAGAGCACAATACCCAATCAAGTGAGGGGTTGCATTGATAAAACTGTGATCAACCATGGCCTTACTGTCATGTCAGTACAATGGTGGTTTATTACATGAATGGGAATAGCACTCAAACAGTGTAATTTTGCTTATTTTAACATTAGGATACAAAGAAAAAGATGTCCCAAGAGTTTCTACACAGTGAAATGAGTGAAATCCCCATTTTAATACAATGTGAATGAGTTCAACTGAAAGTACACCAAAAAGGCAAAGAGACCGACCTGAGTAGCAGGGTTAAATTCAGCATATTGTGTGCCTGGAATGTGACTATGAAAAGGAGGATCTGTTTTCAGGAATCAGCATTTCATCCTGGATTTGTGAGGATGTATATATTTTGTACCATAGAGGAATAGTTCACCTGAAATTCAGTTATCATTTACTCACCCTCATGCAGTTGAACAATTTTCAACAATGTCCAATCTTCTGTTTTTGTATACAAACACAAGTAGATTTATACTGCTTCAGAATTCTCCAAAAATAGTCCATATGATTACTTTCCTATACCATGATCCGTAGTATAGATTTTTCATCCATACCACAAAACATATTCTGATTTTAGTGCCAGAGCTCACAACTGTCATTCGCACTTGAGTCCAGGTAAAAGGCCTAAAGTCACTGATGGTTGTTTATGTGTCCACTGGATCACAAATGAGATTTGAGAGCTATGGCAGAGGTGAATAACTTCTGAATGGCTTCAGAAGACTTGGAATATAATGTAAGTTTCAGGGTTCTGTCACTTCGGTCTAGTGTTATCCATGGTTTTGTGACAGAGCCCTGACACTCCCGTCATGTCTTGTTTTCATGCGAGC